TTTTTTTTTTTTGATAATTCTAAGCTTTACAATCAGTCTAAATGAAATCTTTACAATCATTTTCTATGAGGTTGTTGTATAGTCTTTGACAATTTAAACTTAAAGTAGGTAATCATACATTTTGTTGTTACTTTGGAAGTTATTGCACATTATAATCATTTAAATTAACTGCAAAAGTAAAAAGTCCAGCCATTCTAGCTGTACAGCCCGCTCGTGGTTGTGGTGGATCAGGGAGGATCATGGCAACATCGCTGATATACAGAGTGTGTATGTCTTCTATATCAGGGAAAAAGAATGACCATGATGATCCCGGTTTCTTCCGAATTTTACCAAAACAAAACGATTATCTTTGATTTTCTCTGGTGTCACATCTAAATTATCATTGATGCTACGATCATCAGTCTCTTCGTCCATTTCGAAATCGATTGGAGATGTTGAATTCTCCCTCAAGCTAAATTGCGATCTTTCAGGATCCTCTGAATCTTCATCACTCTATTCCTTAGCTTTCATTTTCTTTTGAATGTACGAATGTGCCCCCCGTCTGGCTGTCCAAATACACCCCACTGCACACCCACAAAATTAAAATACCACTTTATACAAATTCTAATTTAGTTTGAGTAATATGATCATTAAAGCTCAAAATAAACAATCATCACCATTTTGTCAAAAACATAACAATTCTACTTACAATTGCGAATTAAACTTAGGAAAAAAAATTACTGACCGCGCCCGAAAACACGTTACGTCTTGTCCGCCGATACACCGTGCTGCGACCGGCATGACACTCCGCTAGCAACATGGCGGCTGGTATGTCTATGCACACAAGCAAAGGCGTGTTTGTGTGTCGTTTAGTTTTTCTGTTATACTAACTGTACGAATGTGCCTCGCGTACGAATGGTGACCACTTTCCACAATAAATAAGAGAGCCACCCTCGTTTAGCGTGTAGGTAATTATGAAAAAATAATACCGATTTCCATTTTCAGGATTATACGAAGCTAAATTTCCAGAAGGAGAGATAGCGTTTGTTCCCTTCGCCCTTTACAATATTCCGCCAATGTTAATATCAAATATAGTGGCATATTTAGTATTGCAATTTATGTATATGGGAATGTGGAGACCGAAAAGTGAAGAAGGACAAATGGTCAAATTAGGAAAGGAAAATGAACATGTAACAAAGAATATAATTAAACAGAAGATTGAAGCACTTGGAAAAATGTCTTTCCACGAAATCATGACGACAATTTTGTTCATTTTTGCCATTATATTATTCGTTTTCAGATATTTTGATTTTATGCCCGGTTGGTCGATGATGTTTCCAAAACCAAAATTTGTAAGTAATGTATAATAATCCCAAATTCTGAAACTTCCTATATATGTACGTATTAGCGAAAATCCGACTACAAGACATTTTAAATTAAATCGTCTTAGCTAATAGGCCTAGCTGGTGAAGTCGTTTAATATGAATGCTTCGACGTTTAATTTAACTTTGTTGCGGGGTGGATCCTTTATTTTTGTACTTATATTTCAAAAGAAAGGATTATCAACGCTTCTAATTACATGTAAACAACATTTGATATAGTAAATTACATATTATCGTTAAAAATATCAATATCCAAGTAGATAGATATCTTAATTTAAACGCTTTAACTTTCTCGTTTTAGATAAAGGATGCAACTAGTGGTTTGATAGCATGTATCCTGTATTTCGTTATACCGGCTAAGCCCGAATTTCACCATGTTTTTGATGACGACGAAAAAACTCGCCCTATTAAATCATCTCCTGGTATACTGACATGGAAAGTGGTCGAAGATAAGATGCCATGGGGTACAGTTCTCCTATTGGGGAGTGGATTCGGTCTCGCAGAAGGCATGAGATGTTCTAGATTATCTATATTATTAGGGAAAATGGTAAGTAATATCTATGGTATAAAAGGCAGAGTACGACCAATCGATCTTAAAAATTACTTTATTGCAGTTGAAAAATGTTGTTGCGGGTTTACCCAACATGGTCGTCCTATTTATTGTAATGACAATGGCTTCATTTATCACTGAATTGACATCTAATGTAGCAGTGGCCAATATCATTTTACCAATAATAGCTGAACTGTCGATTAATTTAAATGTTCACCCGGTAATGTTAATGTTACCGGTATGTATAATGTGCTCGCATTCGTTCATGCTGCCCGTGGGAACGCCGCCAAATGCCCTTGTAGCACCTGCTTGTAATATGCCAACTTGGAGTATGATAAAGGCTGGATTTTTCGTTAAAATGTTCAGTTTAGTGATATGGTGGGGGTTTTGGCCAATAGTGGGAACGTATGTTTTCGATGCCGCTTCACCACCTCCATGGTTAGCTGATGTGGGACAAGGAAATATCACGGAAGTTTCTTGCATTAAATAATAATTATGTTTATTCAAAATAGCAATTTTCTTTGTTAATATTTATACATTATTTTATCTTATTTTTATAGTTACTTTTTAAAATGTATCAATTTATACTTATTTCTTTTTAAGCCCATTAGAAAAGTTTTGATTGATGATTTGTGTTCGTTTCTTTTTGCATCATATAATTCTCGTACAGTTATTTTATGTTTCGTTATTAGTTACAAGTAATTAATACATTTAATTTCATTTAAAAATGTGGTCAAACATTTTCCGTCTACAATGACGTCACTATGGAGGCTGCATGAACAAAAAATCGCAGTACAGAAAAGACCTGAACAAGAAGAAGAAATTGACCGTCGAAGGTAATCCACTAATAGCAGGTAAAAATTCCTTAAGGTATTACAATAATTAACAGTAGTAAAATGGACGTTGAAGAAGAGAACTTTTTCGGATCTTTGTGTCGAACCTGTGCTATAAACAATGCAGAACATTTTATATTCCGTACCGAGAAAGAAGTAACTGTAAATGTACCAGAAATGCTTTTTTACTGCACATCCCAGGAGGTAAGAAGATTTTCATATGACACAAACAAGATTTTAATCTGAACACATCGTATTTCATTATTAAGGCAACGTTGGATGACAAACTTCCAAAAAGGATGTGCATAACTTGCTTGAGTTTGCTGCAAAAATTTTACGAATTTAAGAAACGTGCAATTGAGACGACGGAATACCTTTTATTGACGACACTGAATAAAGAAAATAAGGACAGTGCTTTGAATAATATACCGTTAAAAGGAAAAATTATAAACAATCTCAATGTCCGCAACTTATATATCACTGCAAGGGATACTGAACGATTTTTCAACGATAAACAGGAACAGACAAATAAAAGAAAGGATAATAATATTGCTTACAATCCGTTGATAAAATCTTTTAAAACTGATTCGAACTCTATTATTAAACACTCACTGTCTGACGATAGTCAAGAGCCAATAAAAAAATATGTGTGTGAATGTTGCGGAAAAATCTTTGGTTGCAGCAGCAACCTAAGTCAACACAAGAAAAGTCATACAGAAACTAAACCATTTTCATGTACTTTTTGTGGAAAAAAATTCAAAAGAACAGAACACCTCAGTGTTCATAAAAGAATTCATACAGGTAATGATTTACAAAAAGAAAGCCAAGATATTTGCTCATAACACAATTCTTTATGTTTTCTTTTGTTTACAGGAGAAAGGCCCTTTTCATGTCCAACTTGTGGCAAGAAGTTTACACAAAAAGCTTCACTGTCTGTTCATTTCCGCACTCATACTGGAGAAAAAATGTACAAATGTTCAATTTGTTCTAGGTCATTTAGCCAATCAGCCAGCTTAATATATCATACACGTTCGCACACAGGGGAAACCCCTTACGCGTGTACTGTATGCGGTAAAGGATTCACGCACAGCGGTAATCTCAATATTCACATGAGATTCCATGACAACGAGCGGCCGCATGGATGTCAGGTGTGCAAAAAGACATTCCACACGAGTTCGTATCTTAACATACATATGGCGCAACATACCGGACTGAGACCGCATCAGTGCACTGTATGCGGGAAAGCGTTCGCAAGAAGGGAAAGGCTAAAAATGCATATTANAAAGCCAAAGAGCCCGCGTTCGATTCTCGGCGGGGGTGTGTCAACAGCAACAAATTTTTCCTCATTAATTTGAGGAAGTGTGTAGTGGGTAAAAATTGAGAATATTTCATATTAAAAACTAATTCACTTCGGGAAGATTTCTACATTGTATATATATTTATATTCAGTACATAGTTACATTAGTCATCTACATCTGTGACTAATAGTACGGTTTGTCGTTGTTGCTGTTGTCATCTCTCGTAGCTTAGTGGTCAAAGCATTGGCGCGTAAAGCCAAAGAGCCCGCGTTCGATTCTCGGCGGGGGTGTGTCAACAGCAACAAATTTTTCCTCATTAATTTGAGGAAGTGTGTAGTGGGTAAAAATTGAGAATATTTCATATTAAAAACTAATTCACTTCGGGAAGATTTCTACATTGTATATATATTTATATTCAGTACATAGTTACATTAGTCATCTACATCTGTGACTAATAGTACGGTTTGTCGTTGTTGCTGTTTTCATCTCTCGTAGCTTAGTGGTCAAAGCATTGGCGCGTAAAGCCAAAGAGCCCGCGTTCGATTCTCGGCGGGGGTGTGTCAACAGCAACAAATTTTTCCTCATTAATTTAAGGAAGTGTGTAGTGGGTAAAAATTGAGAATATTTCATATTAAAAGACATATTTAAGCTATAATGTAGTTAATGCCATTTACTGTGAAACATCTTTTATAACAAATTGTATTAGGAATACGAAAGCACCTTGGAAATAGTTGTACTTTTCGTTTCGAATATATAGTAAAGTGACACAAAAATTTAAAGTTATCTTTTGAACTGGTAGCCCATTATTAGAAATTCGAATCTTTGAACAATGCTTGTGAAATTATTCCCAAGGATTTTTGTATCAAAATTAAAGCTACAATTCGGGGATTTCCCAACAATTAAAAAAGGAGATACGACCGGCAAATTGTAAAAAGTAAAAAAATAACTAATTTTTAAATTGGTGTTAAATAAAAACCATATAAAACACTGAACTGGGGGTATCTCATCATGAAACTTAACTGCAAGATAAATTGTATAACTGTCATGCAGGATTTTAAATTTTCTGGGATAAAACCTCAACACCTTCAACCTTGTGGAAAGTGAGAAACAAAAAATTGATTAATTTATGTTTGTATATACATACAATTTGCTGTAACATCCTATTAAAAAAATTAATTGGGGTATCTGATAAAGATGTTCTGCAACACACATCGCACGGCTGTAGCATGGAATTTTTAATTGTGTGGGGCGAAACCTAACAGCTAAACCCTTATGGATAAAACCTTAAGATTAAATTAGACGATGAAACATAAAAACTGCTAAGGCCAATTAAATATTTGGAGAAACCGATAAAGTGAAACCAACGTTTTCTCAAATATTTTATTAAAAATTTATTTAGGTTGATGTGTAGTAACTAAACAATTATTAAATTAACATAAATGAATATAAGAATATAAGAAGTACTGACCATTAGAGAAATAATTTAACTATCTTTTAGAATTTTAATATGAATCAAAAATAAATACATAACTAAATATATCATTTGTCTATTAGTTTTGTCAGGTCAACTTTTTTACAGTTCTGTATGAACAGGTTTTAGTTCTTCTATCCTTTGAATGAAGTCACTTTTTTCAATACACCCTTGGCAGTCTTCTCCCCAGTCATTGATGATTTTCTTGAGATCTCTTACTTTGAGCTTTTTTAGGTCAACAGTCTTTAAATCAATTTCAACATCATACCGTAAATCGCAAATTTGATTGTCCTTCTTTTTTAACCTTTCACATATTTTGTCTGCAGGCATTGGATATGATAATGGTTTAGACAATTCACCAAGGATTCCTGTTGCACTTTCTTCCAGACCTCCAATGTAATAACACTGAAAACAAGCATATCTCAAGATCTACTTTAATAAATTTAATACGGAAAGACATACAAATCTGTTTTCCTTATTTTTACTGGTTTTACAAAACTTCTTGAACTCTTCTTCTATTCGGGCAGGATTCCTTTTAGCATCATCTGGTAGTGTGGCAGCAAATTTTTCGATTACTTTTATGCATACTAAAACATTGAACCAAAACTTTGTTATCTTGTTTTTCACTAAATTTCAACAGTCTTACCTTCACATTCTCCAGGTTTTAAACCACTAACTGCAACTGAGCAGAATCCCAAAATTGCCAAAATACTGTAATGTGTTAATTTCATCTTTAAGGAACTGAGAGGTTATGTCTTCTTTTTTTTTTTAAACTAACACTTGTATTGTGAAACACACCACTTACTTTGTATTATCAAAAGTCAGATATGACAACAAATTTTGTGGATTTTATAATTTTTTAATTATTGTACCCGTATCTTATTTTTCGGCTATATTTTAACACACCGGTGGCTAAGCAATAACTTAAAACTCAACTATATTCGACCATTTCTTGTTGGCGAACATTCATTGGGCCACGTCAATTTCTAGTACAATCCGGATATTTCGGTTGGTAACTTCTCAACCCAATCCTCCAATAAAAGAGGAGTAAATGTATAGAACTGTACAAGGCTTGTAAAACAAGTTACAAGACAAAACTTTAATTTTCATCAATCCGCTATTTTTATCTTAAATTATCTTTTTTTTTTAAAGTAACACTTTTACTAATAAAAAAAAACATTTGTAAAGCTGGCCAAATTGTAAGAAGATTGTAAGAAAATAAAGTTCTCATTTTTTGGTCTTTGGCTAAGAAAAAACCAATCGTCATATTTGTTTTTAAGCATTTAAAAACTACCTTTAAAGAAGTAATGGGCAAACAATGTCACAGTATAAATATTTCGCTAACGTTGCAAAAATGACGAATTTGTTCTGTCACGATCTTCACATCGTGCTTTCTAGATAAAGTATAGATAAAGAAATCGTTCCTAAGAGGAGGGGGGGGTTGGAGGGGTGGGAGTATGACCTTGTAGAATAGCTTGCAGTGTTTATAAGTAGTTGGAGCGAAACATCTGAAGTCGCAGAAAGTGAAGTTGAATATTGAAAATTGGGTAAATGGAAATTGTGTATGAGTTACCTGGCCTTCCGTTGGAGTGGGGTGGGGGGTGGGGGCAGAAATGACATTTCAGAATTTCAAAAAAGGTTTTTTGTGGAGGTGGAGGCGAGGAAGATAGAGTTGATGAATCGAATAAAAATAAATAAACAATTAATAATTGATGATGTAGCGGCATGGATTGGAGTAGGACGTAGGATGACTCCATTCCGAAAGTTAAAAAGGTCGCAGTTTTTCCTTTCTTTAGGTCCGGCAATCAAATACGAGAATTTTTCCCTCAACGACTTTAACCGAAAGATGATTTTATTTGACTGCTGAGGACTATACGGTTGCAGTCCGAAAAGACAACACGAACGAAGTGTCCTCATTGTTTACAGGAATGTAGGACTAAATTAAAATTTTTCCAGTCGTTATCCTTTAATCATCAAAATGGAGTGATCAGTCTATCCCAATCCAATTACCATTACTAGGTCGTATCATCTATAGATTAAAGGCTTAGCTATTTTTATTCGATCTTTCAAGTCTACCCTTCGCGTCTCCACCCCTTCTTCGTCACCTAAATACACTTTTTAATGTTCTACAACGTCATCCTTATTCTCCTCCCAACCCCTTTAACCCCCAGACTGACGATCAGTTAATATACATAATTACCATTTACCTCATTTCCGATGTTCATCCATACATCCATTGTACTTCCACACGTCTCTACCCCCAACTGAAAACACTGTTATGGTTTTCTACAAGGTCACCCCTTCCCTTATGCCCTTTCGTTATTCCCTATTCGAGCGACGTTTACTATTGTTAGTATTATAATAATAAGTGAACCCATTTATATGTTATTACGTTTAAAAAATAACATAAAAGATACAGCTACTGTTTGAAAAATAGCGACAATATTTGGCTAATATTTACATATTCATATAAAGACTAACCCTTAACTAAACTAAACTTCTTAGTTATTAGTTATTTGTAATTACATAGGTCTATTATCGTCCTACTTTAATTAGTGTTTGGTAAACCGTTAATGCGTTAATAACAGCAAAACCAAGATGTGGCTTAATTAAAAATATTTATGACCTCATAATATTTTACCGCCTAAAGCGATCGAAAAGCTTCTTTAAACTTCAAATGTGAAAAGAACAACATTTTAAGCGCAAATAGGAGTTATGGTAACGTGCCTACCACGTTGAGGTGAGCTACGCCGGGATTCGTTTCAGCAAGTAGAAATCCATATATTTAAATGGACCTTGCTGAAGCATACGTAATCCTAAAAAGTAGCAGTGTACTACAGATGGCGTTTACAGGGCCATTTGTCGTATTTTCTAAAACGCGCTGTTAAGGCATCAGGTAAAAGTTGGTCTGTGTTCTGTCGTAGCTGCCTGCGACGCGCTGATGAGATCCAAAAAGATCGAAATCGCGATCCGCGTCTGGCAGTTTCGACAGAATACAGACCACTTCTAATTATTTTATNATCCAAAATTAAACTGCAGAAAAACATTTTTATATTTGCTAGCATCCATCAGAAGTAGAAAGAGTAAATATTTTACATTTTGGATATCTGGGCTGTTTGTTGTTTTGTATTTCTCGTTAGATACTAACTATAGTTGGGACCACCAATATTGGCAAAGTCTGCAATAAATTATCTGTAAGAATAGACGTATCTTCTTTTTTGTTTCCACTTTGGGACACGCCCTTGTTAAGTTAGGAAATGCTTCATTAGTAGAACAGACAAAATGAAAGGAGATAACCGAATAAGAGTAAGCGGCGAGGGGGTTAGAGGTTAAGTAGGCAAAAGATCAGGGTCGGCATTGTAACTACCTGGTTGGAATTATATTTTTAAACAAGCGTCTTTACTTTTTAAATTCCTGAGAATGTTGAACTTTCTTTAAAGTCCGAAATTTCGCTTGTCTGCATCTCTTTCTATTACACATCAATTGGCGTAATGTTATTCCTATTTCTTTATTAGTGTCCGCTGCAATTCCTGTCTGACATCTCTTTTCTATGCTTACGATATTCTCTACAACGTCTGTTATGAGTAAAAGTAGACGTTTCGTCAACAACCGCTCTGAATTGAAAGAAAATAGTAAAGACAGTTTTATTGCGGGTTATGCCTATTTTAAATGTCCCAACTATACTATATCTAACGTAAGACCATAAATTTTCAGTGCCATTAGGCTGGGATCGTAAGGTTACGGTAGGAAAAGACAACACGAACGATGTACTTATACTGGGTGGGCTTCGCAAAAGTAATTTACGTAAAAGCGACATCTAAACAAAGATTAAAAATTTGACAGCAAAGCAGAAAATTTCCTCAACTCGAATTTTCTCCAACTCTTACAGATGAACTATATTACTTAACATTCCATTAAAATGGTACACAGTTTTCGGAGCGTGGATAATCAGCCTCACATTTGATTTTACGATAATTGACTGATCTCATGTTTTTAAAACTTCGCCATTAATTTGGTTCAGTTTGTTGTTTCTGTCTGCAAGCAAACATTACAAAATCCGCCATATGCTGATGTCTGCGATTGGTTGAATGCTGGTAACACCGTCCAACGCACATTTGTACTAAAGTTAATTTAGCGATGGACTTAATTTAGCTGGACTTTTACGCATACCAAGACTCTTTTTTTTTTAATTAGTTTGGATGGTGGTGGCGGTTAGCAAAAGGCGGCGACGTTATATCGACAAAGCGTCGAGGCGCTCGTCTGTTTGTGTGTTTTACCGAAAAATAGATAGCAACAGCGGATAAAGTGAAACTAACTACAACGACATGAGTTACTGAAGAAGATCTACAAAGCGTTTCTATTCTGTTTTTGGTGTGATTCTTCATGAAAATTAGTAAACAAACGAAAAAGGAATTTTATGGTAAATAATACTTAATTACTCAGGGGATTTTTTCAAGTGTTTTTACTATAAATAGACGTTACATGAAATTCTGATAACGGAGTGATTCGTAAAGATTACAGATACATATAAAAAAACGCATCAAAAGATAAACAATAAATTAATGTACGCCGGATGGAAAAGGACTGATTCAGGAGGACACGAATGCTTTGTGGAATATAGTGAGTCTTTTAATTTAACAATTATTTTTCACAGGGCTGTTGTAAAAAAAATTAGGGCCCAAGTCAGCAAAGTAACGGTTCCGCCAAATTATTTCACATGCGAAATTTTTTTTTTTAAATATTTTTTTAAGATTTATATGATTTAAAATTACAAAATTTTCGAATTTGCACGCCTATTCAAAAACTTTCGGTCAGGGGAGATTTCTTCCCTTTTCTATATCCATCCCGACGGCCCCGATTTTATATGCTATTATTATTAGTACATAGGCGACTCAGAATTAATTTGTTTTGCTTTATTTGGCATCAGTACAATGATAACAGAAAATATTATTGTTGCTTTAGCATAATTTTAGACAAATTTAACATTTTCATAATTGTCAAAACAAACCAATTTTATTAAGTAGACTAGAAAATACATTATTCTTATCTGCATCCAAAAAAGTAAAGCACGCTTGAACACCCTTACAGCCATCGAAAGCTCGAGGTCCGTCCGTAAAATATTTTTAATTTAATCAACAATTTCGATTAATCAGTTCAGAGAGAAATTGTTTTGTTAATTATTTTGAAGTATTTTTAAAGTAATTTCTCTTCCTACTGATTATGGTTAATGTATGACCAAATTTGCCTTTCACTAGCATTTTTTTATAATTAGTCAGTAGTCAGGGCTTCTTTAAAACAGTGTCAGATCCAAGGGGGAAAATGAGGGAAATTTTCCCTGTCAAGACCTCTAAGATTTATAGATTACCTATGTACTTTAATACTGTGAATTAAGAGATTTGCCCCTGAATAATAAAAAAAAAAAATAAAAACATAATTGTCTTTATTTTTAACGAAAAAAAGCATGTAAAACTACCATTCAATTTGAGCATTTTGAAAAACACGGCTTAATGGACAACTCCTCCCCATCAATTCTTTTTAGATTCACCCCCTATAAAGCATACACTTAATAAGTTGAAAAAACAATGTGTTATAAAAATCAGTGCCGAAATTGAGACACAAAACACAGTATTATAGTAACATACACCTATGTTTCATCTTTATTGTTACATAAGGGTTTTTCAGGGTAGGTTGCATAATAATTACTTATTGCACGCAGATCTGTATTAATTTGCAATCGAAAATGAATATATAATCTTTAACAAAACCCCCCTTGTGGTGATTATCGATAAAATTCTAGATGTACACTATTCAAACACGTGTCGTTCGTCACCGAATATACAGGGTGTAGATAATAGTAGATATAGTTAGGTACATTTGAGGGTAAGTTTCTTTTATTATTTTTTTTTGTCTTGCAGAGGAGCCAAACACAATGGGATGCGTGGAATTCGTAGCTACCGCAGGATCTCTGATCCTGTTGATTTTGACACTACCGTTCTCATTATTTTGGTGTTTTAAGGTAACGTAAACACAATGGTTTATTGTCCGGACGGGACGGTGCAATTACAGTTCGAAATTGCTTGTTTATTTAATGCCATTTTATTGAGCTAATAAAAGCTGATTGGGTTTTGCTTTGAGCCATTTCGAAAACTCAAACGATCCAGTAATTTTCGTCATACATATGCGCCTACTTTTACATAATAAATGCATACGTACATATATGTGCATATACAAAGGCCGAAAAATTTAAAATTAACCACCAATTCTGAACGAAATGCGTTCAGTTTTAGAAATCAAACCAAAATATTTGTTGTGAACATAATCGCGGAAAAGACGTAAGGCCAGGCACGTAGTCAAGAAGGGGTCCAATCGACCCTGACCTACTCCGAAGCTGAGAAAGTCAACGAACAAAAGCAAAAAATTAAAACTTAAAAAAAATATCAAATTTCTTTAAAGATCGAAGAACGCCAATAACTTCATAAGAATTGACTGTTTTATTTTGTATATATACGAGGGTGGATTGATAAGTTTCCGGCCTAACCAAGAGATGACGCCACTAGGCCTACCTTGAGGTGACATTCTATAGTACCATCCTTGGATAGCTTGTAGCTATAGTTTCAGCCCGATCTCCT